ATATGACTCATGAGACAAATGGCCCAGGAGAAAAGGCCAAATAACTTCTCTTAACTGCCATTAAAGTACCCCGTTGTCCCTTAGGGGAGTGATCTGTCTCGCAGAACTTGGCTGCTGTGTTCCTGTCTACAGTATATGCTCTTTGTTAAGACTTTTCTGTTGGTTCTGGTCTGGTAAACACTTTCACCCTGAACCTTGGGCTTCCTTTCCTGGCAGGATATTTTAGTGGCTCAGCTAGGGAACCTTCCCCACCCCCTCACTTCTTCACTCTGAGGCTTATGGTGGTTGGCAAAGTGGCCAATGGGCACCTGAAAATCTCTGAGATCCAAAGGCTTCTGGGGTGAGACTTCAGATAGCTGCCACCCATTAAGGCATGAGCTAAGGGGTTCATTTTGGTTGGTTTATTATTCAAGGGCGGGGGGGGGCTGCTTTTCTTCCTTTTGGGACCCCCATCTCAACGTGTGCTATGGGGAGAGTGACAGCTCGTTTGGCATGAGTCCACACGTACTGTGAGGACCCCTCCACTCCTCTGACCTCACTGTCTGTTTCGTGTCTGTCACTCACCACCACAGAGCAGGTGGGAGCAGGCATGTGTAGCCGATGATGCTTGCACCTGCAGCTTTCCTTCCCAGCTAGTCTTCCTGCTCTGAGAGGCCTGTGGACAGCCACGAGAGGCCTGTGGACAGCTATGAGAAGCCTGTGGATAGCCATGAGAGGCCCATGGACAGCCATAAGAGGCCTGTGGACAGCTATGGGAGGCCCATGGACAGCTATGAGGGGCCCATGGACAGCCATGAGAGGCTTGTGGACAGCTATGAGGGACCCGTGGACAGCCACGAGAGGCCTGTGGACACCCATGGTAGACAGCCACGAGAGGCCCGTAGACAGCCATGGGAGGCCCGTGGACAGCCATGGGAGGCCTGTGGACAGCCACCAGAGGCTTGTGGACAGCCACCAGAGGCTTGTGGACAGCTACGAGGGGCCCGTGGACAGCTATGAGGGGCCCGTGGACAGCCACACTTTCTTTTATAAGCTCATTGGCTTGTCTGCTGCCTCCAGCCACACCTGCTCTCAACCACACCTCAACAACTGCTTCCACTTTGCCGCTCTGACCCCTCTCTTCCTCCTGCCCCCTCTCTTTCCCACCCACAGAGCTTCCTCCAGTGGCACCTACGCAGCTGTGTTCACCCTCTCCTGGGACCTGTGTGCAGGGAACTAAGAGAGCCTTTGAAAACAAATCCTTCCCCATGGAGAACGCCCTTCTCCAAGAGGTGGCTAACAACTCCGGCACCCTCTGAGTACACAGCCCTTCTCCATGCCTGACTTTCCCCCAATGCCATTCAACCTAGGATCATTTAGCCAGGATTCACCTTCACTGGAGAATCCCAAAGGCCCGCTGAGGCCTTTGGCTACCGTGGTTATCAATATCATCCTGGCCATGTGATGCACAAAAGGTCCTGCATCTGGTCTTTATCAAGCCCCTTCATGCTTGTCACCCAAATACGGCCTGGCCAGGCTCTGTCACTGTGCCTGACACAGAGTCCCGCTGGTCATATTGGGCCACTGGTGTAGAGAATGAAAGAGGAAGGAATGACAGAAACACATATTATCTATCTATTGAAAAATATGATAAAGGCTGCGTGTGTGACCGAGAGGGAGAGGGAGATGAGCATATGTGTATGTGGGTGGGTGTGAATGTGTACCTATGGGTATGTGCATGTGCCTGTGTGAGTGTGTGGAGGCCTGAGGAGGGTATCACTGTGTCTCTATATCACTCTCCACCTTATTGAAACAGGGTCTTTCACTGAACCTGGTGCTCACTACTTCTTTTATGCAGGGGAGCGGTTGGGGCTAGCAAGCCCCAACAAACCTCCCATCTGTGTTCCTGCCCCCACCAAGTACTGGGGTTACTTTCACGCACAACCCTACTGGTTTTTGCACAGGTGCCGGGGCTCCAGACTCTGATCTTATGCTTGCATAGCAAGCGCTCTTGCCCGCTGAGCCACATATCCATCCTGGGAAGGGCACGACTGCAGCTGTTAGCCACAAGTGATGGGAAACAGTGCAGGGGCTTCTGAGCACACTGCCCTTTCCAGTTTGGAATAACTGAAGCTCTCGTGAGAACAAACCGGCCTTAATCCCGAGAGTCCAGAGGCTCCAGCTATCCCGGCCATAGTTTTACAGGATAAGACTCTCCAAATATGAGTTAAACACTAGACTGGGGGCTGCAGATTCCACCCTCTAGACATACGTGGCCTTCAAGTTCTTTAATGATTGGGAGGAGACCTTTGGCCAAGAAAGGTCAACCTGGAGGAAGAAAGGGATAAGAGGCAGGTCCACTTAATGTCAACAGTCCTCCCTGCCCATGTCGGGAAATCTTAGGGCTCCATCTAATCTTGACGTAGTCTAAGGAGACTAACCTAAGTCAAATCCAAGGACCTTCTCCTGCTGTTGCTGTGGCTAGCCAGGACATTTCATCTGAGAGTGCCCAAGGGTGCCAGGCTACAGGCCTCACCCACGGCCATGTCCAATCTGCCAAGTAGAGGTCCTTTGAAAGGGAGATTGTCTCTCTTTTCCTAGTGAGGGATCAAACCCAAAGAAGGATGAATGCCCCTGATTCTGCCCCTTGACTCTGAGGAGCCCCACAAGGAAGGAAACCCACCTCCCTTTGAGGAGTATGGGCCTCTGGGGTGGTACAGGCTCCTGCATTCTCAAGGTCTGTGGTTGGCACTTGGATAACTCTGTATGTGATGGGGAGAAAAAACACATTCTTCTCTGATACTGGGGCAAATTTCCAGCCCTTACCACTGTCTCCAGTTCGACTTTTCAGTCCTCTGCCCTCTTACTGGTACTGATGGCAAACACCAACCAACCTGGTTTATATCCCCTTTAATCTGGATGATAAGCAAGTATCTTTCATTCATTCCTCATGATCCTGCCTAGGTTCCCTGTTCCTTCCCTAGTCAGAGCCACCATGCCCATATTTCAGGCTCTTCCAAGTTTGAGATTCTAAATACTCTATAACCCTTGCGCCCAACACCAAGTCCCTGTCCCATCATGGTGAGAATCATCTAGAACCTTAAAGACCTTCCCTGCAGTCACCACTGGAGACCTCTACCCCACCCAACAAGTTCCTTTTAAATGGGAACACTTCTGTGTTCCTGGGTACCCATTAACATCCACTCCCATCACAGTGTTCTTAAAGACCCTGACAGTTTTTAGGGTCAGAAATCAGAGGGAATATTGATACAGATTTGGCTTGTGCTTCCTTCATGACCCACACCCATGAAGCCATCTGGAAAGAAAGACATATATATCCTCGCTGTTGAGAATACCGATAAAATATGCCCCTGATGGTTTGGGCCTCTTAGAAGCTATCTGGCCTTGAACTCAGGTGGCCATTATGTATACTACATTGCAAGATCCACCCAAAGCAGCACTTTGACACTTCTCTGGGTAAAAGCTGAGTTGATTAACAAGCCAAACAGGAAGCTTAGCTTCCACTCAAGCCTGCCTTGGGTCTCAGTATCCCTCCCACCTCCCCCTTCAACATATCAACTTAAGAGACTCAACAGGCTTTAGATTAGGTCTTTATAGCCACCCCAGAGGGATGGTTACAGAGCCCAGAAAATAATCGGTTGCTCCCTCAATCCTCCTAATGGAAAAGACTTAACAATCTTCATTAGACGACACATTTGAGAGCTAAAGCTCTCCAAATTCTAATCAGGCCTCCTTTCACAGACACAGACATTCTTCACATAGTCTATTTCCAAAGTTTCTCCTACTTGTCAGGGAAATCCCAGAGGAGCCGTCAGACTCCATCTCCTTTTATAGCCTGTCCAGAGAGGGGACTATGCTGGTAGACTAACAAACAGATTCCACTGATATCCTTCCTGGTGCAAGGGATGAAAATATCCCCTAGCTCTAGTGCATACCTTAACTGGGTGGATGGAGTACTCCTCACAAAAATAGAAAGGGCCTCAGAGGTAGCCAGTAACCATAGAACACAGGATTTCCACTCTGGGTTCCCTTGGTCCCTGCAGTCTGGCCTGCCTTTCATTTTCAATATCATTAGGGAATGAGCGAGGCTCTCAAAACTAAGTATTGTTTTTATTTAGCCTGGTGCCTTCAATCTTCTGGGAAGGTCAAAAGGGCTAATTTAACCTTTGTAACAGGCTCCTCCTCTCATTGAGTTAATATCACTAAGACAGACAATCGTGGCTGTCGCCAAGATCTGAGACAAGCATCACCCCAAGCTTATTTTCAGGATCTCCTCGATACATTAACTTGGGAGACTGAGTCCATCTTCTAACCCTCCCCACAGAATAAAAGGTCATTTGAAGCTGTCTGAACCTGACCCTATCATGTCTTGCTAATGTCCTCAACTGTAACCAAGTTACAAGGCCTGTCGCTGTTGATCCAGCCATCCAGAGTTAAGAGTGTTTTACCCCACAAAGTTCTACCTACCTATTCCTGTGAGCCACCTGGGGATCTCCATCCCTTTCACATCCAGCTCCAGGGAAATCTACCTTCAGACACCTCCAGACCCCAATTTATTAACTGACCTAGCTCGTGACTTGAACTCTAACTCCTACCTTTACCTATTACCCCAACATCACTGGGCTCCTCTATTAGGCACAGGGCTCCTCTTCATGCTCATAATCACTATTAAATGTCCTATCTGTCTCCCTCAAATCACTCTATGGAGCCACTTTTAAGCATCAGAGGTTTCATTGTTATTTTATTACTGTTCACAGCCCCATTTCTATTGTCTTAATTCTACTTTGTGTCATCTACCCCTCCTTCCTTCACATTCTGGTATAATTGGTGTCTTCCAGATCATAGCTTGTTAAGCTCCAGAGATGGCATTGTCTCTGGGATAGCAACCATTGCCATTGATACCCACCTTCTATCATTGGAAACCTCTTGACCTCCAAATGATGTCACAGTCTAGCCTTCAACTTTCTGTGATACCACCCCCTTCAAAATAAGGCTCAAACCTTTTATGTCATATGGTCCTATGAATCTGTGGTAGAACAGCAATGTCAGCCAGGGTTCCCCTGCTGCTCTCTCTCAGCTCCCAAATAGTTCCGGACCAAAGGAGATCTTTTTCCCTTGTCAATGGTTTGACCTTGTTGATCTGCCAGGGCAAATGTAGAAATAAAAAGGCCAAAAGTAAGCCCTCTTCCAATAAAACTAAAAATTCTTTATTCTCATGGTCAGGTCCCAACTGCTTAGAACTTTAGACCCAGTGGACTCTAAGGACTTATAAAAACAATGATAGACTAATTCCCAATGGCCCCTGGTACCTCATCCCAAATGAACAGTCCCAGGAAGGACAGTGTCATAAAATTTACTATCTACCATGACAATGAGTTGCCAACTAAGATTCTTATCTACTCAAATGTGATCCCACACAAATGGCCCATGAGGTATTTTCTTCCTGGATATTAAAGTACCCCATTCTCTCTCAGGGAGGCAATTCTTTTCCTCTGAGAATTTATTCATTGTGTTTTTAAAACTTTTGAAACTATGTATTAAAACTTTTGTGTTGGATCTGGTCCAGTGGATAAAGCATTTAAGGTACAGCATGGAGATTAGAATTTGGATCCCTAGACCACAGACAAGCCAGGCAGGTGTGGGAAGCCTGTAATTCCAGCACCTGGGAGGCAGAGACAGGGGACCAGAGGAATCTGGCTAGCCAGACTGGCTAAAATTGATGATGATTCCTGGGTTCAGTGAGAGATCCTGCCTCAATCAATAACAGAATGATTGTCACCCAATGCCAACTTTAGCTCTCCACATGCATGCATACATGTACATCTGCATGCATGTTCTCTCTCTCTCTCTCTCTCTCTCTCTCTCTCTCTCTCTCTCTCTCTCTCACACACACACACACACACACACTTGTATTTCAATTCTTGTCTGATAAATACTTTTGGTCTTGGGACAAATCATATATTTTGTAAGGCTGTTCCTGTTTCAATCAGATAGCTTCAATAGCCTGATAATGCTTCTTATGATATGTCATCTGAAGTACTCCTTTTTGTAGCTATGGGGAATAAGTCTATGCTATTGAAACTGGTATATATGAGGGCACCAACACAATAGGTTGTTGAGAAGCTGGGGTGCGTAGACACACTTGGACTAGGAAGACCCAGTTCTATGGGTGTGTCTACAAAAGGGAACACAAAGAGGTAGGCCAAGCCTGGAGCAGGCAACTGGTCTCTGGAAACAGCAGGTGATGACTCCCCGGAGGAAGGCATTCCACACTATCTCATTAGCCAGAGGTTCCATCCCAGAGGCTAATTTCAGCACACTGCTTCCCTGGGGACCCTATGATGTCAGAGCTATGAGGTTTGAAAACTTGTGGAATGTTTTTGTGGAAAACCAAAAGCACACAGCTCACCCAGTGATCGGGAGAGCTGGGAAAGGGGACCTGTTAGATGATTTGTTCCCCTGGCTCCATCACAAGGTGAGTGAGGCAGACCAGCTCAGGTCGCCAATTCCTATTACTTGGGTAAGTCTCCAGACTAGCCATGGTTTCTTCATCTATAAAACAAGAGGTTTGAACTATAAATACTTAAGAGCCTTTTCAGCGTTAAGCTTCCAAGAACTAGATTTTTTTTTTTGCCGGAATTCTTAATAGTTTTCCCATCCCACAACTGTCTTTCCCAGTACAGTTCAATGGTAGAAAATAGAGCTTCCTTTTGCAAAGCCAGGTGGTCCTGTAGGTTGGCATCTACCTGGTTCATTTCTGCCCCAGTATCTCTTACCTGAGCTTCTTTTGATTCCCAAATTGGGCTGGAGGAATCTAGACCATCAGGCTGGAGAAGAAGCTTCTTTCCAATGTCTTTTGTCCTCAGCTCCAGGCGCTGCGATGTCTCCTGAACTTGAACCCCCTCACTGCCCTGCGTCTTCCAGCCCATCCTCTTGACACCTTCCTGTAAATCCACTCATTCTTGTCCCTGACCCCATGCCTGGCACAGGTCTGCCAACTGAGGAAGAAGAAACACAAATGCCTCTCGGCGGCCCTCTTGCACTCTGGTCTTCTTGACTAAAGATGCTTCCTAGATACCCCAGGGAAGAGGTACTCTAGCTGCCATGGTCTCCACATCAGCTGATCAGGCAGCTTTCCTTAAGGGCAGCCCTGGCAACTGTTAAGTCGCTTCCTTGTTGTCCTTCAGGCGTCACCCCTTCTCATTAGAATCCTAGCTCCAGTATTTGTCTTTAAGCAATTACCTAAGGGTTGTCTCCTTGGGGGGCAATTTGCCTTCCAACCTCGATAAGTCCACTTAATTCCCCAACAGGCAGGACACAGGCTAGGGACTAGAGCTTGCCATCAGTGTCTCAGTGGAAAATTCTGCCCAGCCTAATACTAAATGTGGTCTTTCTATGGGAAATTTCAGAGCTCCCCACTAACTCTTGTTGAAGACGATCGCCTGCTAGCTCACCAGGGCCCTCTCGGATTAAGAAGGGCATAGCCTAACCACTGTGGCCAAAATATTCCCTGAGGTCTATATATTAGGGAGGCTGGCTCTTGAAAGTCCCATGAGGCCATGGGTCTGATGGGCTGATGGGGTGGGGGCTATAAAAACATGTTTTGTTTGGCTTGAATATGATGGGTCATCAACCCACACTGCTGTTCCCAGCATACACTTAGAGGCGGAAGACAGCGTCCTCCCCAGGATCAGAACCATACCTCACACTGAGGACATTAGCTCCACCTGAGTAGACAAACTCTCCTGCTGACGTCAAAGGGTCCCTTCCTACAGCAGGTGTTTGGGATTCCCAAAGACGGATCTCGATCAAGGAGGATGAAAAGCAAACAGAAAAGGTTGGAGGCACCCAGGCGCCCCCACATTCCAGGGACAGGTCAGGAGCTGGTAGAGAGCAGACCAATTCCATGCTTACATGATGGGCTGCTGGCCATACCTAAGTCTCCCCCTTTCTTTTCTCCTGCCTGTCCAGTCTCTCAGCTCCATCTTAGACACCCGCCCTTCGCACTCTTGCCCTGGCCTCTTTGAAGGGCTCCTGAACTTTCCATAGCAAGCCCAGTCCTGCTTTTCCAGCATCCATCCTAGTTAGCCCAGATACAACATGGAGATGCCGCTAATAAACAATGATAGGCCACCCAGCTGCAAAGAGAAGAGGTCGCCCGTGAAGAAGCCATCCAGGAAGGTCACACAGGGTTCATGAGCTACACAGAACCATGGTGTAGCACAGCATCTCTCAGGCACACATGTCATACACATGGTATATGCAGGGTGAGGCAGTCAACTGTCCTAGAAAGCAGAAGGACACAGTGGAATCTTGTGCCTCACAGGTCTCAGCAAACACGGAGCACACTACCAAGGGCACTTGGAGCTCTTGAGATGAGACAGTCTCTTTAGGCCTCCAAGGCTTAACCCGGAGTCACTTCAGAATGAGGTTTTCCTCAGAACACTCTGGTTTCCTTCAACTCTACGTTTCCATATTTGCAGAAGGAGAGTGAAATTAATACCCGGGCCTAAGTGGTAGTCAGGTTCTTCTGCAGAAAGGGCCATAGTCCTTGTGGAGTAAATTCAAGTTCAAGAGATCTGTGCTCCAAAGGTGTGTTACCTTTGCTTCACTGTGTTCCAGCAATCTCCTTCCTCCCTTGACTGTAAGAACAGGCTGGGGACTCTGAGTTCTCACTCATAAAGGGTGGGCTCAAGGGGCCTCGCTGTCCTCCCTTCCATTTTAATCCTTGAAGTTTCAGAATTTCTAGTTCTACTTGAGGCAGAAGGGGTCCCTATGAATTCCTCTGTCTTCTTACAGTGGCTAGAGGTAGAAAAAATACAAGCAACACAAACACACACACACACACACACACACACACACACACACACACACACACA